TAGATGCATTTACGTTCAACGAATTACTGCCAGTTATCTGTCCGAAATTCATATAACGATCATTATTTTCACGTATTAAATGGAGTTTTGATAACAATTCATATGTAATAGTAGTATTACTAAATCTCATCATGGTTAAATAATAACGAGGTCGAGAAAATCTCCTCGTAACCAAATACACCGAACTAAACTTCATAAACTAACTGGAACAGTATTTAGAATTCTTACTCTCTGTGGTTAGACTACTGTCACTTCAGTTAACCTGTGATGGTATTGGCTACTAACCACACGATTTTCGGGGCTGGATATATAATTACTGAGAAGAATTACTTTTAACGTATAACACTAAGAGAAGATCCACAATGTTGAACGCGGGAACATCCAAATTGAATGAATCCGATGGCATGGCTCAGCCTTATGGACGTGGTCATTCTTGTGTAACTTAACTCATTTGTTCATATTAAATATATTGTTCTATCTGCGTCCTAAATGTGTTCTTTAGGAGCACTAGACCCCATATTGCTGACGACCTTACCAGGACGATTCAGTGTAGACAATGATATGACTTCTATGTAAGATCTTATAGATTAGGTGGTCATATCATAACAAATCTACAGTTTTGAGATTAGTTATATTATCATAGTAACAAAGATAGATGCACTAACACCGAACTGGACCACAAATCAGCAAGCACATGACACTCGAAAACAGGAATAATCGTGATCATTGAGTTCAGTGATTACAAAGACATCCCCAGATATTTTCTATTTGAGTACTATTACAAGTCTCATGAGCATGTAGATGAATTGAATTGGATTTTCCTCAGCAGTGAACCCATCAGTTACCAATCCTAATAAAGAGAATGAAACTACCTTGCAATATCGCGAAAAGGTTTTCAACACGTATTCGGTTTCGAACTTGAATACAAGTACCAAAAGCATATTGGCTGTTATTGACTTGTCCCATTCTTTCCCTAAACATAAGCCTATCCGGTAAACCTTTAGACTGTCTGATAGTATGTGCTATAGGACTAAGTGAGCCTGGTTATGCGCGTTCACGGTGTTTACATTTAGCCAAATTCTGGTCCTCCTGTAGCTACCAGAACTCATCTTGAAAAAATTGGGAATTCGTATATTCTGCTATCACTCAACCTGTCGACCGAAGTACATGAGTGACCGAAGTAGAGATTTTTGGTTACATGAACATAATCTTCAAAAGCTATCGGAGATTCCAAAAAGTTAAATGACATTATGGAGCAACTAGTCAGTCGTTTTGTGATTGTATATCTCTGTCTTTACTAGCGATGATATGTTCATAGCCATCCCAATGTTAGACAGGTTTATCTTAGCTAGTATGTGGACCTTTTGGAAAGATCCGCCACGAGGGTATTTTCGGCTATGCAGAATGAATTTGCACTCATATAAGATATCTCGGTTGCTCTCAGATATTGAATAATTTCCGATCTCACTAGTTAAACAATCCATTTCAAGCGGAACCTTCTTTAGTTTGTCTCTATTCTTAATATTCTTGATTTTCTGTAACAGAACTAATGCTGACTTTAGAAGTAATCTCGACCACATAAGAGATTTTGGTTTTAGTGATACTTGGTGGTTGTCTTTAACTTTATAGTATGAGGACAAATGTTGGCCTCCATGAAGAATTTTTTCACTAACGTACCGAATATGGTGTTGCACTTAGAGCAAGTGAAGAAAGCTGTGCCTCGATTGAATACCTGTATTTCAAGCCAATAACCCTATGCAATTGAATGCGAACAGCGATTTACATATGATACAATCTTGTCTAATAGGAATATCTGAAACCTGGATATCTTCTCAGTTCTCGGATCAAGAGTTAGCATTACCTGGGATGACTTTGTTCCACAACGACAGAAAAATAGGAATTGGGGGCGGAGTAGCCATATACATAAGCTCTTGCTTGGAGGTGCACCAGGTTCACAACCTCGAGTTTAACAATCTTGAGGAATCCATATGGTGCTCTGTAAGGTTGTCTAGTACTTCCAGGTGTCTAGTCGGAGTCATTTACAGGAAGCCAACTGCCGACACCGAGTACGATAGTCGTATGCTGGAAGGACTATCCCGCTCTATCCGTCTCGGTTTCACACACATCCTGATTCTAGGGGACTTTAATCTCCCTAGAGTCAACTTCGCGGAACACACGTACACTGGAGGCGACAACTCAACTGAAGCTCGGTTCTTCAACCTCATCGATAACTTGGGCTTATATGAAAATGTGAGGTCGGCAACTCGTTGGAGAAACAGTCAGACACCATCGCGCTTAGACTGTGTATTCACTAACGAAGAATTCCTAGTCGACAACCTCTCAATCCTGGCTCCTCTGGGAAAAAGCGATCATGCCGTCATAGCCTTCAGTTTTGTCATCAAAACTAAGCTAAGGTATCCCAACAATAATTTGCGTTGGAATTTTAAACGGCTGAATGTGCCAGCTCTACATGACCATCTACAACAGGTGGTTTGGGATGTTCACCCTCAAATCGATGTGGATGGTCATTGGGACTTCTTGCTGCACACGCTCTTATGTGCTACAGACCATTCAGTTCCTCAAACGGTTCCCAAAAGCTTCAAGCCACCTACAGTAATCAAGAACCGTACCCTTCGCCTCCTAAGCCACAAAAGACACTGTTGGGCGGAATACAAACGAACTGATAACGAAGGAGCGTATAGGCAATACAAACATATCAGGAACACATGCACGAAGGCTATAAAAGAAGACAGGCTTCAGTACCAAACAAAGCTTATGGACAAATTCGCCTCTAACCCTAGAAGCCTATTCCGTTATGCAGCCTCTCTTCGTCAAGCCAAAACAGGAGTTTCTCAACTGCTAGGTCCTAACGACCCGACCAACAACGATGGCGACGCCGCTAACCTTCTGGCGGCCCATTACTCTCAAACATTTCAACCGGCTGATATCAACTTTATTGACGACAGTTTCATCTGCAATTCCACAGGACTTTCTGAAGTGGACCTAAGCGCTGACTTGGTGTTCCGGAAACTGCAGCACTTAAGACTTGACACTTCTCCTGGCCCGGATATGGTTCATCCTGCCATACTGAGGGAGGCAGCCTCAATCCTGGCAACGCCGCCTAGCGTGATGTTTTCACACTCGCTTAGCCGAGGCAAACTACCGGAAAATTGGAAGTTGGCTCACATCACACCAATTTTCAAAGGTGGTCGACGCAATGAACCTTCAAGTTACCGGCCGGTAGCTCTTCTGTCGTTACCTTCAAAACTCATGGAGTCCCTGATATGCGACGGTTTAAATGACTACCTACTGTCCTTAAATTTCTTCTCACCCCAACAGCATGGTTTCAGGAAGGGTTACTCTTGTATAACCAACCTGCTGACTGCGGTGGACAGATGGACAAGCATCCTCGATCGCAAGGGAAAGGTTGATGTCATTTACCTTGATTTCTCAAAAGCTTTTGATAAGGTTAACCACTTGTGTCTTATCAACAAGCTCAAACGACTAGGTATCAAACCACCTCTAATCGACTGGCTTAATTCATACCTAAAAAATCGACACTTTAAGGTTAGGGTTAATTTCACTTTATCTCAAGCTATGGAATGTTCTAGTGGGGTCCCCCATGGCTCAGTACTAGGGCCTCTTCTCTTCTTGATCTACATAAATGATCTTCCTCAACAGGTAACGTCAGACTTATTACTTTTTGCCGACGACGTGAAACTTTGGAGAGAGATACGCAACCAAGACGATATACAGGCACTTCAAGAGGATCTGACTCGACTTCAAAGTTGGGCAGACGATAACGGACTTACCTTTAACACTTCAAAGTGTAAAGTAGTCCATCTGCGACATGTCGCAAACTACAGTTACAACTTAGGAAACTCCTCTCTAGTAGTATCCCAAGTCGAAAAAGATTTAGGAGTCCTGGTGCCCCATGACTTAAAGTCTTACGCTAACTGTGACAAAAATGCCTTCCGAGCAAACCTTGCACTGGTAACGTTGAGGCGCATTTTTGGCCAGTTTGACGGAAGAACTTTCCACACAATCTTAAATAGTTTCATCCGTCCCCATTTAGAGTACGGAAACATAGTACTCCCCCCCCTCACTCCAAAAGGATAAGGTCACTTTGGAGCGTATCCAACGGCGAGCCACGAAATCAGTTCGAGGACTCAAATCTAAGCCTTACGAAGAACGCCTCCGTTCACTAGACCTTTACCCACTAGAATATAGGCGTCTTAGAGGTGATTTATTAATGGCTTATAGTATTCTTAACACTTCTGGACATCCTCTTAAACACCTACTTGAGCTTAGTTCGAACAATAACCTAAGGGGTAACACCCAGAAACTGGAAACACAACATAGCAAGACGGAATGTAGACACAACTTCTACTCCTTAAGAGTTGTCAAAAGCTGGAACTCGCTGCCGGCCGAGCTAGTCCAAGCGACTTCTCAGGAGTCCTTCAAGAGGCAACTTGACCTATTCTTAAGGACCAAGGGCAGCATCGCACTATGATTTACCAATTTCTTTTCCTCTTTTATTGTTAACATACCTAGGTTCCTGCCTGGAGGATTTCGTGATCCCCTGCTACTAGACACGGAAGCCTGTTAAGCGAAAGCTTCTTCTATTCCGTCCACAACCATTTGAACCATTTGAACCATTTTGTATTTTCAAAATATATGTCTGTTTCTGATCATGATTAAGAAAGCGAACGTATTATCACCCCTAGAATTAAACATCAGCAAGAGTTATATCGATATGAAGCCCTTTAGCCCCAAGATAGTACAAAGATGATCTTTGAAAAGAAACAAACGCGTGTGTTAATTACAACATAGCTAGGACAGTAAAGTAATGTTTTACAGAAAGAAACATACACTGTTCGAGTCCCAAATAAAAACAAAAGCAATCATTTGAGCTATACACATAGATTGTAAATATCGAAATTCAGAAGTTAGTTATTTCAGGTACTGACCGTTTTCGTGTTCAAATATACCAGATTTCCACTTTCTAGGTCACCTATTTTTTAAAAGCTTAAGCGTGATGGGGGGAACAATGAAGAAAAAGGTAGGTTTCTGCTAAGAAGGTATTGCATTTCTATGTTAGCACACGAAAGGTCAGGTCGTCGCGTTTCTCAGTCAAAAGCAGGCAATGAGACGCTTGCAGCTAAACCTTCCTAATTTTAGGTAGGTTTGCCACTTGTTCTCTCATTTTTCAGACGGCTATGTATATTGAAAGGGATATATCCAGTAGAACCCAGAAGCAGAAAAAAGGTTGGAAAGGGAAACAGTCAACCTAGGGTTTATTACAATGCAAAAGATATAGCGTTTCTGTCACATGAACCTTTGATAGAAACGTTTAGAAAACTTCGGATATTCCATGTAAAGCTCAAGAAAGCACGAGAAAAGAAAGATAAAGAGAAGGAGTTTCGAGTAAGAATAAATAAGCCAAGATACACGCTCCATCAAATCGTAAAAGAAAGGTATCTGCCATGTCTTGATTCACTCGAGTTTTAGATACCCTACGAGGCAGGATGCTCTGCGGGATATAAGTGACAGCCTTAACTTATTGTTTCTCTTTGAGAAGCTTCCTAAACTCACCCAATTCCACCCTTCTTTAATCTCTATCAGTCGAAGACTGTGTGTGGAATTTTTGAATCTTGTTGTGGCAACACAAGCAGTTCGAAAGGTTAGTTGGAATAAACTAATAATTATGTCAAAAGGCATTTATTAGCATAAAAGGATTTTATGTTCAAGCTGAGATTGATGGAATTCCAGTAGTCTGGATTATGCCCCATGCTTCTGTTACTCACACCCCAACTGATGTCGATTACCGTATACTAGCAACTTGTCTGGAATTTGATGCTACACTTATTGGATCTTTGATGTGTCAGTAAGTTTCGTTAATAACTCAACCACTTCAGTTTGTACCGGATCAATAACCTGGTGTACCCCCCAAAACTCTCTGTGCGTGTTGAACATGATCCGAATGGATACTATTGTGGCCAAAAAGAGAGCCTTTTTGAGGTAGTTTCGTATTCATCTCCACCGTGAATCATAATTTTAGTTTATGTCGTCCCTCAGCTTCCCGCTAAAACGCACAGAGCCGCCAAACGATGTTGACGTTGATGATTTGACTGAGCTCCAGGTAATTTCAATTATTTTGTGAGTGCATTAGTCGATGTTCGTTAAAATCATTATTTCATGAGCTATATCTGTTTGATTTTAAACGCTAATTTGTAACGATACCAAAAAATTATGACATAAAGCACTTTGCATACCTAAATGTTTCATGTTGCTTGCAAAAAATCACGGTTATAAAGGGGCAATACGCAGTATAAGTAGCATTTGTACTCCGAATAACTAAATATCCCGTAAAGTAAGCAATCCACATATCCTCGAGTGAACTTCATTTACAACAACTAGTACACGGCGATTCAAGACTTAGCAGCTGACATGAAGGGAAAACGAAGTTCAAGAAGGAATTAACATCCAAGCAGAATAGTTCGAAAGAGTATTGGTTAGTACATATAGTTGCGAAAGCCGATCCCTATAGTACACAGAGAATTCGAAGTAGTGATAAGCAGTCAGATAAATCAAGGGTCGTGTAAGAAATTAAGTTGGCAAGAGAGCACTTACAGTTACCGTTACTAATAAGACTTAAACATTAACGACACTTGAGTAATACCATGATCTTCTAAGCACCACGAAAAGTGATATTCAGAGTCAAGCACATAAGCTTGCACGTGATCATTGTGTTACACTTGACATTTTCTCTACTGGGTTTAAGTTTAAAATCCTGTTGGGGATGTTAGATCCCCAGAACTCACTTGGTAAATGCCCTAATTTTATAATTTTTGAAAATTTAAATTTACTTGTTTTCGCGCCGAAAGCGCACTTTTCACCTTCATCTCGTATTTCCCACTTGGTCCGTTGTGTATTTTTAATATGCTGTTTTTGCAGCGCTTCCCAAGGACAGTTTTATGCTGTATATATGCGTTTGATTTGTGTCTGTTATTATTCACTCGTGTTTCTGGCTTGCGGAATATACTTTCCCGTCCCAAGCTTGGACTTCTTCCTCTAGTTAGCGGGGCTGGGACGCATCAAGTAGCTAGCTTATTGGTCTACGGCCACAAGTCTTTGTTCCGTTCGCATACCAAGTGAGCTCGTAATAGCTTCAAACCTAGCAGATCCACATATTTTTAGAAATCTTAGGTGTATAATTATAAATTATTCAATATATGCCTCACTGTCTAATGGATGAAACTGTTTGGATGTTGAGCCTTATGACATAAGATTTTACTCATTTGTTTACATACTGTGATCTTCTTTTTTGAGACATTCCAGCAAGATATTATACTCAATATTGTCTTGCTTACTAATAGTTAACTGGTTTTTACCCATCTGTTTTTAAGGAATATACTGCTATTAACTATGTGCTCGGACTTGTAAGCTATCCGAGAGCATTCTATGCTGATGACTATTCCACGACCAACTTTAGTGTTGGATATCCGTTTTCTTTTGCAAAATCATGTTCATTTGTTTAAAAAGTGTAAAAAACTCAGTAGATTGAAAATGTCCCTTGGTATAACTGAACTCTTGAAGTTTGCTTTATAATCCTAGGCTATTGATGAGCAGGTTTCGCAAGCGATAAGTAAGCAAATAGAAGTTCAAAACGTGAAAAAGCTTTTCAAGAACAAACGGTTTTTCCTTATGCGTGAAGTTCCACGAGAAGTAATATGTTTGATTATACGGTCTTGTGGCGGGGAGTGTTCCTGGGATAAGATTGTTTCTCCAGGATATACATTCCAAGAAGATGACCCTACTATTGACTACCAAGTAGTAGATCGTCCGATGACAGATATGAAATTGACACGGTAAGTTCTATATTCGTCTGTTAATCACTTCAACCGAATTATTGATGCTTAACTAATCAACGGAATTTAAAGTTTACAGTTGTCTGACAACTCATTGTTTCACTTTTTTTGGTTTAATAATTTTTTGGTATTATACCTTTGAATAAAATGCTAATAAATGTATTATTATTTTACCACCAAGTTGCAGCAAAAGCGACACATGTTTGTACTTATGTATAACTTGACAACCCGAATCTAATAATAGTTAACTTGTACTGAAAGTTAGGAAAATCGCGTTGTGGGATTTCAATTCGTTATTCTGCCCGTTCATGGAAAGCTGCCTAGCAGTTTCACTCTATTTTCACTACTTGGAGCCGGCATGACAGTTTTAAATATGTATTATTCGTCGTAATTTTTTATCTGTCAAAAGTGAAGGCTATAAGTAAAAATCGTTCTATTAAATTTTTACCAGAAACTTGGTTGCCGGATGAACTGCTGTAACAAAGCTTGGGTCTTTCCCACATACCAATCTCGCACAATTTAACCAATGAGTGCACTCAGAGAAGTAGGTAACTATAGACACTCTGTACTTGGAGTATGAAGACGAGTATAAGCAAAATGTAACTTGGCACAAAAATGTGATCTTAGATACCTCATTACATACTGACACTAAAACTGAAGACCGAAGGTTATACTCCCAACTTCAGTCTAACTCTAGGGAAGCTAACAGGCCTCGAAATTCCTAAGTAGGATAATAAAACCCAGAACTGATCTGTTTGTGGCTAATGATTTAGAGTATTGATGTTATTTTCTATTAAGTGAACATTTTAGCTAAATATGAAGCAATTTTACTACATATTTTGTGGAATAAAATGTGTTAACTCTATGGGATACATCTTTTCTAGATTATCGATTCAAAACGAATAATATATGCCACCGTAGATGTTTTATTTATTAGATCAGTATGCTTGACCGCTTAAAGACGTAAGCGTATTATACGAACGCTTACCATGAGCATTGTCGTGAACGGCATAAGTTGACACCTTTAATCCTTCAGCTTTGTCATTTTCTTCTGTTTAACCTAAAGAAATGAATTACGTAGCTACTGTCGACCAAGTGAATTTCACACAGAAAAGCCACATTGGTTTCGCTTATGTAAGGTTTGGTTTAGTCATTAGAATTTTTAAACAAATTATAACAAAGAATAGTGTTTAATATCTCTTAACTAAGTCTTACTTCTATTATTATTCAACGACAGTTACTATGTCCAACCACAGTGGGTTTTCGACTGTTTAAATGCAGGGAGACTGTTGCCAACACAAGATTACTTACCGGGTTGTAGTCTCCCACCTCATTTAAGTCCGTTTATTGGAAGTTCTGGTACTGATGAACTTTTAGACACTGCAGTTATGTCACTTTCAAACCGTGGTGGACTTGTCGGTGTTGCTCCTGGATTTGGGGATGGTGCATCTATCTATCGTCCACCAGAGGCAGATTACCTTGCTGGTTTGGTGAGTCTGGCTGAAATCCGTGGAGCTAGAGTCCAAGCCCAGTCTGAAGGCACTATCGAGAGTCAGTCTGAAGTGGATAATGACCTTTTGAATGATTCTTCCACTAAAGAAGAAAATGATTTAAAAACCAATGTACAGACAAAGGAGCGATCCAAGCTTAAGAAAGTTTCAAAAGGTATGCTTTGTACTTGACTGAGCCTTGGCTTTCTCAATATTTTTTGCATGTAATCTTTTGGTAATATTAGGTGAATCACTGATGAAAACACTTATTATTGCCATTACTATGATACTCATCTGACAAATGCAAGCTTGCGTACTCAGTTTTGAGGTACACTGTGTTAGGGCTAGTAATATTGCTCGGCCGTACAAATGAAAGTAGGTGAAATAGGGTTCGACCCTGGTTTTACCACTAAATCACAGATGTAAATTCTTCACCTATAATATTTGGGCTAGTATATATTAATACCAAGGTTGGATTGTTTATAATAATGAAACAACTTACTTTTAATCCTTCAATGAGTAGAAAATCGGGTTACCGATGTTGCGCAACGTAGTGCATGTTGCTTCCCTTACTAATGTACTATTTCGTTATTATAATACTTGTGCTAGTTTAATGCACTTCCATTTCCTGGTCACTCAATCAGTGAATGGGTGCTTCGAAAACACTGTACGGTTATTCTCCATAGAAGTTAGAAAAAACAGACCTTGTGTATATTACATAAGGTCAGTGTGTGAAATGCGTTTCTTCCTCTCTGAATGCAAGTTTCTGCTTTAGAACTGGCCTGCGTCAACACCTGAAATAAGGATAGGTTGTGAAGTAGTTGAATGCGTCGACGACTTCACTTATCTTGGGAGTCTGATCAGTCCTAATGGGTTGGCGTCTGATGAAATCTCAGTACGGATTCGAAAAGCTCGTTTGGCCTTTGCCAATTTACATCACTTGTGACGAAGGCGACATATCCGTCTATCAAATAAAAAACAAGTATATTGCACAGGAGTTCGTTCTGTTTTACTTTACGGCTGCGAAACGCGGCCATTAAGAGTGGAAGATACTCGTAAGTTACTAGCATTTAATCACAGATGTCTTAGAAATATTGCTCGCATCTGCTGGGATCACCGGGTAAGTAATAATGAGCTTAGACTCAGGGTATTAGGGAGTGATAGTAAATCAGTTGATGAGGTCGTGAATCTTCATCGACTGAGGTGGTTGGATCACGTATTACGCACGCCCAACTACCGATTACCACGACGCGCAATGCTGACTAGTGTTAGAAACGGATGGAAGAGTGTTAGGGTCGGCCGAACCAAAACATGACATCAGTCCTTAAAGTCACTAACATCTGGTCTGAGTGATGTTGGTAGATGCAGACTACTTGGTTAAGGTCTGCGCGACTATTGTAACTAGTGGTTGGAGACTGTGTGACATGGCTCAGAATCGATCACAATCACGTAGGTGTGTACACTATTTGTCTTCCTTGAAACCATGAGATTAAAATTACCTTATACCTTTATTTCTACGAACTAATTCTTTCTCCCTGCTTCTATAAATTTGGTGTTGATCTTGTTGTGCTAATGAGGTGTGGCAACTTGGACCGATGGATGTATGTGCCTGGTCTTACGTTGTAAGTGACTGACTGATATAATAGACTTTAATAGGATAATTTCAAATAGTTCACTGAAATACACAAATCTTCATCGCGGTCAATAATTCACAATTTAAAAAACAAAGGAATCTGGGATCTAGCACGATTATTTATTAATTCTGGTTACCAAACCTCCTTAAAGGATAGAATTAGTGGAATCAAATTTTAATGAAGTGAATCTTACATACATGCCATAATGTGATGTCCAGTATTTTCAAAACGCATATGTAGCTTAATTACTTTTGAATCATTTTTCTCAGTTGTCAACATTTCCAACTAACAGGATTGTGTCTGTTAGGTCTCCTTGCTTTAAGATCAGTATTCTCAATGTCCGAGCGAAAAATGTAATCTCCAACTGGAATGGAATTTGTTATGGTTTATAAAGGTATATTTGGTCTTTCGAAATGTACCATTTTATGGTTCATTGTTACGCACATAATTAAGTTAGAATATTACAAACCACTTATAGTTATTATTCTATTTATGTGATAGTTAAACAATTAACATAAAAATCGTTCCAAGTTATTTTTGATCCAAATAAAATATAATTACTCCCATGAGTTTTAAGTCATTTTTTTCTCTTATGTGGGGAATAACAACAATAGGTAAGGAACCCAAAGTAACACCTGGTCGAGCTGAAAGCAAAACCGTTAAGATCTACAAAGAGAAGGAGGAAGCAAACGCTGAACGTAAGTTAAGGGAGTTAATGTTACCAAAAAAACACAAAAATGTATATAAGAAAATGGTACATTCTATCAAGCGAAAAGAAAAAGAAGCACGCCAGTTAGAAGCAAAACGACGTCGAATTGACATGTAAGTGGTATTAAAGTATGTATATTCTTGAATCTGATTACCGTTTGCTTGGGTAATTTAACCTGCATGTGACACTTTTCTTGAACTTTCTAGATAGACTTTTGATAATATATCACACTACCAGGTAGAATTCTTCAAAAAGTTTTTGTGTGAATAAAGCACACTCACTGTTAATATACAATAGTCCTTCAACGGTGATTACCTTCCTTTGCTATTCCAAAATCTTGATATAGAACAAATGGTTTGTTTTTCGCACAATAGTTCGACTGTTAGTCCGTTTATGCATTTTCTTAGACTACAAATTGCTTATAATATGAGTTGTCAAGTTTTTCTTCGTCAAAAACCGGATTCTCCCTAGGTTTTTGATATCACCTCAGTTGCCATTCAGTTTAAGTTATATTAGTGGAACGATCAATTGAATGCTTATCAGCACCAGTTTGTATGTTACTGAGACAGAAGATTCAATCAAAGCAAGAAGTAACTAGTAAGAGAAACATACTTTTTAAAATTGTACCTATAGTTCCATAGATTACGGTCTGAGATGAGTTCTACCATCAACTGAATGAGTCCAACCAAACTTATTCAACATATATAGTTGTGACATCTAATGACTTAAATGCTTATTTTTAAGTGTTCAGATATGAAGGGAACTAATAAACATTTGTTGATTTTAAATTATGTAGCGCGGACTGCCTTTACTTATACCTACTTGATTTCCTCTGCAACTGAAACCTAAGCTCAAATCTTAATACAAAATCGGTCACTGATGGTCCAGATATTTACAAAACTTCTATTCATTTAGATTCACCTCATTGGTCATAATGTAATATCTTTCAAACTCGTCTTCGGTTTCAGTTGTCAGCAGATCAATTGTCTCAGACAAGGGGATTAAATAAACTGGCTTCCACTTACCTTTTCCACTCGACAGAAAATTTACGTGGGTATCATAGCTCACACACAAATCAAGTGACTTGTTTGGTGCACATGTATTCGGTGCCCCTTTTTACCAATATTTATTTGCCCAAATAAATAAGTAAAAGTAAGTTTAATATTAGTCATTCCAATAAACTGAAAGGCACAAATAGGGATTAGGTATAGTTACAAAGCTCAATGAAAACGCCAGTAGTCTCTTAAGACTTTAAACAACAATTTGTCCATAAATCTAGGATTATTGCCGTCTCTCTACAACCTCTTGATGCTAGTTAGTCTATTTCAACAGTGTCTATAATTTTTATGTTAAAAATCCAACACAATGTACATGGGTGATGTCAGTTTGTAATGTACGTCTGTAAAAACATACAGGTCGATGGCATGTAGTCTTTATTAACAATCTCTGTTGTTATAGGAGACAGAATCACTGAACATCTATATTTATCATTGGGTAAGTTTTCTAAGTTGAACCGGTATATATTTTTGATGTACTAACTTGAATTACTAATTGTAGTAAAAGATTTCTAAGACGTAAAATTCAATTTATAGACACGATACGTCAGCTATTGGAGTTCTTAGCGATGTCTTCTGTTTGTTGATTCCATAACAATATAACGTTAGTACAAGTAATGTTTCCTCATCACAGTTCAATTTATGTTCATCGTTTATTTTTCTTTACTTTCAGGGGAACCGGATGAAAGCTGTAATTACTTGATATGATTTATACAACAAAATAAAACAATCAGACATTTGAACCTTTTTTTTTCATTAAACGTGGTTGAACAGAGTTCGAGTATTTATCTGTCAGCTAATTAGTTACAAGTTCAAACTTGAACCGTATTGTTCATGACTAAGTGAAAAATGTTGACTAATGAGATACTACTCAATCGATAGAAAAAGTTTTTCTTCCCGATTATTTACGGGATTTCATTTTAATATCCGTTTGACTATAGTACCATTACTCCTGTGATTTGACTCGTGTTCACAACAATTGGTAAACTTAAAAGTGTATTTTTTCAAGTTCTTGTAGCTCACAGGTTAAAGGAAACTCATAGATATACTTCCTGTATCATGTGTTTACTTGACTTTTTAATTTAGGACCGGTAATCGTTGTTAAAAGATGTTGAAAAATAAAGAGCCCTGGTTTTCCTTCCTACTGTTGTGTTTTTTGTTTCCCTTCCTTTTCATTCTTCAATTATACAAATTCTTACCTTTTTTAATTTATTGCATTCATTCTTCAAGTTATAATGATAATGCGTCATGTTAAGATAATTACCGATCAGGTGTAATGAATAACTTGAAATCGCAAGATTAAGGGTCTATAAGGAGGTGAACGTAAAAACTCTTCAATTAACTTAATTCCTCATGATTACTGTCGATTATTTTCTACGTCTAACAACCGATAAGAGAAACAAGTATTGATCACATGGTTCTCGTTTATCAATTTATAGATTTTTGTTTAATTTAGCAAGTGATCAAAATAAATTTTAGAAATTTTTTAAATATAATTTAACACAAGATAAATTAATAAATTTTCAAATATTGATTTATCAATATTCCTTCATTGGAAAGAACTTCAATGGGTTAGCTGGGTGCTTAATCGTTATCAGAATTCTTATCTTTATGTTAAATTAGCATGTTCATCAAATTCTCAGCGAATGTACATTTTTCATACAGCGATTGTATATATTACTGGTTAACGAGAGTGTCAGAATTAGAGATAAAATCATGGTATATACAGAAATTTCACATCAATTAAACACTTTCATACATCTCAATATGTCGTGAATGAGAAGTTAGTTGGGGACAATCAATTTATTGTTTAATGCAAAATTACAGAGTTCTTTCTCAAAATGTAAAAAACATACATTAAATAGTTCATTTGCAAATCTTCCATCAATTGTCCTACACATCCCTCATGATTTTTTCAATTATCGATTCCTCTCTGTTTTTTCCAGTTCAATCTTCTCAACCTTCTTTTGGCAGGCATTCCACTTCTGGTTGGTGTTACATACTGTTTGACTCTCGATATAAGTATCATGCATCACAAATATATAACTAGTGAATAGTCTAACTCATCCTGTTAGATTGTTTGCTGTTGATGTACCTTTGAAGGATAGACATACAATCCCTAGGTTATTTGATAAATACTGACAAAAGCTTTCACCAAATATGTGTACTAGTGAATGATTATAACTGAAATAACAAAGACTTTTAAGAAATCAATTGTTATTTAAGTGTAATTCATTAACGGTATCATCAGTCAGTTGATGGTACAATGTATTGTAAGACCAACTTTATACCTAATCAAAAATATATACTGTCGTTACCAAATACTCTAACCACTATGGTTTTTAATTAGTCATTAAAAAAAATTGTCATAATTAGTATTTTGTGATGTACAGTTAATCATTACTAAGATTTCAGGTTAGTATGATTCTCTAAATATAAACAAATACATCATTATTTTTACTAGTCTGAGGTAACTTAAACTGTCTTATAAATGTAATTTCCATTTCAACCTTCCTAACAGAATATGAAGCTGATAGAGTGTATTTCACTTAATTGTCTAGATCGTTTGTGTGCATGCTAGTGACTTACACTACGTTGCATTTATTTGTTGTATGAAAGTTGTCAAATTCACCGGAATAATCCACCTAATTTGGATTAAAATGAGAAAACTGTTAAGGCTTCTCAGAGAAATAATATACGATTATGAATAAACAGTAAATGGATCTAAAATAAGCAATCATTAGTTTAGGTTAGGAAATTCACATTCAAGGTGATGAGCCCAGGAATAGTAGCTTACTTTTGACACAGACAAACATAAAACGACTAGTTCAATATAGCCGAACTGACAAAGTATACCTACCTATGAGAGAATAGTTTACTGTCAACCAGTTAAGTGCACGGAAGAAAATTGTACAGTAAGAATCTAATTACTTATAAGTAATGCAGCTATGATTCAAAAATCTCACGAAAGCAGGAATTTTGACATATTTTCGATAGTTGTTTGGTATATTTTGAAATCCAAAAGTGATTGTGTATCTTCAACTCTGAGAGTTCAGCTAGCTCTTATGAAGTAAATGTATGATTTGTTACTGTGAAATTTCATTTATCCTTCAGAGAGAACTCGAAATTTTAATTATTTATCATGTGCAACTATTCCCCTATGAGTAGCCGTAAAATAATGTATTATAAATTAATATAATGTCTACCATTGGAAGACCCATTAGTTTACTAGTAAATAGAAAGCAGATTGGTACCTGGAATTTTGTGGGTTATTAAACATGAATAATGCAAGAACCATCTTATGCTCTTCAACGAGGGGTAAAAGGTGTAAGTGAGTAGTGCAAGAACAAAAGAAGTAGCAGAATAAAATGAATTCGCTTCATGATATTGTTGTGGTTCATCTTCAAGATAGTTCCTAAGGCTTTGTGTACCACTTGTCCTCATAATTGTTATAGATTGACAAGATTTCAGAAGACAATACAAAGCAGCACCAAGCCTCAAACAGCGAATTAGACCAAAAATGTGAATGTGAGCGAGCAAATATGTATGGGAATTAAGAGTTGGATAATGAGCATAATTGATTGGTGAGATCCAAGCACATTTATAGGGGAAAGCGGGTGAGTCGTCATGCTATTTAAGCAACTAATAACTAAGATATGAGAGGGGTATGTGTATAGACTCTAACGCGTGATCAAGCATACATGTTCATACAGACATAATAATAACAGAAAATTATTGACAAATTCTTACCGTTCGAATAACTCTGCTAAATAAGTTAACTGGAAGGCTAAAGTAAATGTAAGTATAGGTTAGTTGCTTACAACCTATAGATGATTATTTGCAACCAATATACATTGCATCATATTAATGAAGATTGGGGGAATAACAACAAGTGTGAAAGGATTATAGAATACCAAAATGAATACATATTTTTGCTATCAAGTGTGAAGATTCTCGAAATATTTTTTTGACATTTGGAAATTAATGTCAAAAGTTATGTAATGACAAGGGCTCAATTAGGTAGATTAACAGTAAAATAAATAAGGTTTAAAAAAATGAAGAAACATAACTAGGAACATGAAATAAGAAATCGCTCAATTGAATAATGAAAGTCAGATCCATCAAGGTGAAGAGAAAAGTTTCAATTCGAAATCTCTTGAGTGCTGATTATTTTGAAAAATGTGTTTACTTTTATTTATCTTAATCTGCAAATAATTTAGTACTAAGAGACCGGTTTAGCGGTTGGATAAATCCTTTTAACTCAATACTATAGGACTAATCACATGAGTTATCTCATCACCTTTGAAGCTAAGTCGTAAAAAGACTGGCTTTTTCGTAACTATAGGAAATCCCATTCCCTTCGTTACTGCATTTTTTTCATACTTACTGAAGAACCTTTCTAGGTAACTAAGATCTCAGGCATTTTTTGACCATTGTTAATTGTTCTTCAATCTCCTATTACGAACATAGTTTCAATATATGATTGAATAGCATTCCGACCAAAGCCTTTTCGTACTTATTTGAGAGAAACTATTGGAATTCAAATAAAGCTTACTCCAAGAGCCTTTTGGATAAATAGATCTTTCTGTTTAGCCACTAAGATTTATCTGAATCAAGAAAGTAAAATTCATCACGATTTTCGTGTTCTATTGTAAATCTTATTTTAGGCTGCGCTATGTTGAGAAGATTTAGAGAAAAAGTCCTCCAGAGACATTAATGGAAGCTTCCACCTATGATAGCAACAGTAGGTTAACTTCACAGCTAACTATATGAGTCTAGATTTAATATAGCTTGTTAAGCGCAGCAGATTCTCTATAGTCTAGGTTCGTCTGTACTATTCTGTCAACAGCTATGCTACTAAGACTGGTTTCTAATATTAGTAATGTATGATAGTGATATCGGGCATAGATATGAAATAAGAATTTCACAAGTAAATACTTGTCTCCAACACATTAATGTTAACTACCTTTCAGATATGATCAAGGAGACGTTGTTAAGCTTTGAGAACTCCGGAACATAATATTGTCTACTCTACATTAGTTGATTATTGTTAAGACGATCTCCTGTAACTAATAAAAGTACTTTACAGAATAACCCGAAGATATTTTTAACAAACTATTCCCTCGTAAAACATTGATTGAAAGTTGTCTTATATCAGTAGGAACTGTGGAAAAAGTATTCGTCAAAGACTTTTCATCATACCTCTATTACCCGTAAAAAAATTTAACATTGATTTGATCAAACTGAAATTATTTCTTACAAACAGTGAAACAATTAGTTACGTTCTTAGTTATGAAAAAAACTCCAGGTAACATTTGTTAAACTAATAAAAATAGGTAATATGTAGTGCATAAAAGGCCATGATTAACAAATCCAGTTCATGAGTGCTTGAGATTGTGATTCAACTAATTATTCAGTCTCATTATGAGAGCACTTTGAATGCTGACTGAAGCATTTCTGTGGAGAGTTGTTAAAAAATAAAGAGTAGAGTAGGAATATTTCATCTGTATTAACAAACAGACTGGGGAAATCTTATTTAATAGCATATCAGTAGCTTGTTAAACAGAACTTGAAATAGCACTAAAATCTTTCTGTAAACCAATCGGAAAGTAAAATGTAAGGTTAATTTGATTAAAGTAAAAACAAATAAATAACCCTTTATTACATAATATGTTACTGATAATGTTGGTTAGTATTGCACTACCTATTATGATGACATCTTGTTTATGCTAACATGAATGTCGAAGCATATAATGAGATGTCAGCCACTTAGTCCAGAGTTTTCATTTCATTCTATTCAAACGTCACTGCTTAATCTACTTAGCGACTGAGTCCAGGTAGCCACAGATCAACATGATAGCGTTTAAGACGGAAGGTACTGGATTCGAGTCCCGGAATGAATATCAATTCTGGGATGCAGGTAACTACAGTTAACGAGTCGTAAATATGAGGAAATGCACATCTAGGATCTCACTGCTAGCTACCTTCTATCTCTGCTTCAAAAAAGGTTTGCGACTTTGTAGCAGTATCGAGGCAATCCCTGCAAAAGACGGATTAATTGGAGTCCTAAACATCAATGCTAAAAAATTCAAACAATCAATAAATACAAACCAAGAACTACAAGTT